AGGGGGTTGGACTAGATGGCCTCTGGGGTTCCTTCTGACGCTACAGTTCTACAATTCCATAAGCTCCAGTGGTGCAGCGCTGACTCAGGTTTGGCTTCCACTGAAAGCAGGTCGTTGGACGTTTGCTGGCATTTTGCGATCCTGACATTTACTTCGAAATGTTCTATTGGAGACGTGTAGCTTAAGCCTTCTGACAAATAGCCATAGTGTAGCACTCTGCATTAAATCCAAGCAGACAGCCAAGCTCTTAACAGGTCTATAGTGTTCAAACTCAGAACTCTGTATCTCTCTCTGTCTCCAAAACTCAAATTCCAATTGGTTTCTTTTTGTTTCGTTGTGGTGCACTGATAGCCTAGCTCACACCATCCCCAACAGTTGAGGGTGAATCTAGCCATCGTGGCTAGTAGCCACGGAAAGCCTTCCCTTCCATTAATTTGTCAATCCTCTTTTAGAGTCATCCGAGTCATTGGCCATTGCTGCCTCCTGTGGCGGTGAGTTCCACAGACCAGCTGCATGCCGGCGAATCAATACGTTCTTACGTCTGTCCTGTGCGCATGAATTTGGCTTTGCAGTGCGCTGTCTGTTGCCACATCTGCAGGAGATGCAAGCCTTTCAGCCGCTTCTCTGCTTACCTCCTAAATCAGAAACTGCAATTACAGAGAAACATGTTTTTCTTCTTCTTTCCTTCCCGAAGAAACTCTCCTTTTACATTGGTGCATGCGTGTTGTTCGTGACTTGTGCGTGCGTGTCTATTTGAGACCCCGTGTTTTTGCTCATCCTCTCCCTTGCACCATCAATCAGCACTGCTGTAAACTTTTGAGACAGCTCCTGGGTCACTGTCAGAAATGTTCATATTGTTTAATAAATGAGCAGCAGGAGAAGCCTGAATACTTGAATTAACATATACACCAGCCATATTCTCTGGAATGTTCATCTCAAAGGAAAAGAGGGAGGGAGCATCTGCCTTGCACACAGAAGTGTACAAAATACCAAGCCTGATGGCCCAGAGCTCCGATTCAGTATAAGGCTGCTTCGTTCGTACCTATTCAAACAGTTCTTGCTTTAAAACCATAAGGACTAGAATCTTACTTTATATTCAATGGAAGAGAGGTCCGTGCTGGAGCACCTGCTTTCTACGTAGAAGGTCCAGGTTCATTTCTTAGCATCTGCAGGTAGGGCTGGAAATTTCTTCTGCCTGGAACCCTGGAGAGAGCTGCTGTCGGTCAGTGCAGGCAGTATTGGGTTATGGCCTAAGGCAGCTGAAAGAAAGAAAGAAAGAAAGAAAGAAAGAAAGAAAGAAAGAAAGAAGAAAAGAAGAGTGCTGTTTTTCTAGAAAAAGAGGTGCCAGAACTCACCATGAATGCCTCCCTCATTCTTTAATAATAATAGTAATAATAATAATAGTAGTAGTGATGTATGGAAGTGAAAGCTGGACCAAAAAGAAGGCTGATCGCCGAAGAATTGATGCTTTTGAATTATGGTGCTGGAGGAGATTCTTGAGAGTCCCATGGACTGCAAGAAGATCAAACCTCTCCATTCTGAAGGAAATCAGCCCTGCGTGCTCACTGGAAGGACAGATCCTGAAGCTGAGGCTCCAAGACTTTGGCCACCTCATGAGAAGAGAAGACTCCCTGGAAAAGACCCTGATGTTGGGAAGATGGAGGGCACAAGGAGAAGGGGACGACAGAGGACGAGATGGTTGGACAGCGTTCTCGAAGCTACCAACATGAGTCTGACCAGACTTCGGGAGGCAGTGGAAGACAGGAGTGCCTGGCATGCTTTGGTCCATGGGGTCACGAAGAGTCGGACACGACTAAATGACTAAACAACAACAACAACAACAACAACAACAAATAATAATAATAATAATAATAATAATAATAATAATAATAATAATAACAACAACTTTTTTAAAAAAATATTTATACCCCACCCTCCCCAGCCAAGCCTGGGCTCAGGACGGCTAACAACCAATAATAAAAATAAGGTGATTAAAATACAACTTAAAAAACAAGATTAAAATGCAACATTAAAACATTAAGATGCAGCTTCTTCACAGGAGGATAAAGGAAAAGAGCCAGTGTGGTGTAGTGGTTAAGAGCGGTAGTCACGTAATCTGGGGAACCGGGTTCGCGTCTCCGCTCCTCCACATGCAGCTGCTGGGTGATCTTGGGCCAGTCACACTTCTCTTAAGTCTCTCAGCCCCACTCACCTCACAGAGTGTTTGTTGTGGGGGAGGAAGGGAAAGGAGATTGTTAGCCGCTTTGAGACTCCTGAAGGGGAGTGAAAGGCGGGATATCAAATCCAAATCCAAATCCAAAAAAGAAAGAGGGGAGGGAATCAAATTGACTCCAAGCCAAAGGCCAGGCAGAAAGAAATCAGATCCCGCAGGGCCCTGGTCTCATGAGACAGAGCGTTCCACCAGGCAATGGCGCCCACAACTGAGTTCCAGTGAGTTCTGGCTGGGGGGGGAAGCCCTGGAGAGAGAGAAAGAAAGAAAGAAAGAAAGAAAGAAAGAAAGAAAGAAAGAAAGAAAGAAAGACCAGGGATGTTTGTTTGGCTGTCTCCTAGGCTTTGATCAACAGCATCAAGATGACAATTCAGTGGTTATACATTGTTTCACGTTGTCACTACATTCTCTCAGTTTGTCACCACTGAGTTCTGCCTCTGTTTGGCTAAGAGCAGAATTTCCTTCTGCGCTTTGTGGTTAGAGGGGAACTGCCTTGTTAATGCACTTGTCAAGTCGCCTGTTGTCTCAGGCTGCTGAAAGAGCTCTATTAATCCCTAGCCGCAGAGGATGCGAGGCGCATCCAACACTGTCAGCTTTTGACAGCGCTGGCTGCAGCAGATGAGAGTTGTGGTCTGAAACACTGAGCGGGCACTGGGTTAGGGAAGCCTGCCCTAGACATGGACATGCTGCCTTGCTTGCTGATAAAGGAAAAGGTAAAATCATTAGATCCAGTCGTGACTGACTCTGGGGTTGCGCGCTCATCTCGCTCTATAGGCCGAGGGAGCCAGCGTTTGTCTGCAGACAGCTTCCGGGTCATGTGGCCAGCATGACTAAGCCGCTTCTGGCGAACCAGAGCAGCACACGGAAATGCCATTTACCTTCCCGCCAGAGTGGTACCTATTTATCTACTTGCACTTTGACGTGCTTTCGAACAGCTAGGTTGGCAGGAGCAGGGACCAAACAACGGGAGCTCACCCCGTCGCGGGGATTTGAACCACCAACCTTCTGATCGGCAAGCCCTAGGCTCTGTGGTTTAACCCAAAGCGCCACCCGCATCCCAATGCCTTCCTCCAATCCCATCGTTCCTCAGGACAGGTCAGCAACCCATTTCAAGCACTGCTCCTCAGTGCCAGGTAGGTAGCTAGAGAAACCTCTGCATAATTTTTTTTTAAAAAAATCCTTCCAGTAGCACCTTAGAGACCAACTAAGTTTGTTATTGGGGTTTATTTATTTATTTTTTATTTCAAAACCAAAAGGAAACAAAACACAAGAATCAAAATCTATATTCATTTTCTAACATAAGCCTATTACATAGATTACCTAAATTAAAATTTACATGATTACTCTAGGCTTCCCTTTGCTGTACATAAATACATCGCAGTTAAGAAATTTATATTATAAATAATATTATAGATTCCCACATGCCCCCAACACCCCTTCACCCATGTGTGATCTCAATATTATTATTATTTTGCCATCTTGTTGGGTTGTTATAATTTAATAATTATTCAGCCGTTTCTATTGTTATTTTCTTGCTTATCCCTGCACGTTTTACACATTATCTATTAATTTTTCAATTCCAGAACAAATTTTTTTCATATGTTCCTTCACTCCATCCCACTTTTTGATTATTCTCTGATTTAAGTTACCTCTAATAATTGCCGCCAATTTTGCCATTTCTACAAATTCACAGTTTGTTTTGCCATTCTAATAAGGATGGGCTAGGTTTGTTATTGGTGTGAGCTTTCACATGCATGCACACTTCTTCAGATGCACACAGAAGCTCATACCAATAACAATCTTAGAAGGTCTCTAAGGCGCTACTGATCACTACAGATGGTGACAGCAGTCATGAAATTAAAGACACCTGCTTCTTGGAAGAAAAGCAATGACAAACCTAGACAGCATCTTAAAAAGCAGAGACATCACCTTGCCAACAAAGGTCCGTATAGCTAAAGTTATTGTTTTCCCAGTAGTGATGTATGGAAGTGAGAGCTGGACCATAAAGAAGGCTGATTGCCGAAGAATTGATGCTTTTGAATTATGGTGCTGGAAGAGACTCTTGAGAGTCCCAGGGATTGCAAGAAGATCAAACCTATCCATTCTGAAGGAAATCAGCCCTGAGTGCTCACTGGAAGGACAGATCGTGAAGTTGAGGCTCCAATACTTTGGCCACCTCATGAGAAGAGAAGACTCCCTGGAAAAGACCCTGATGCTGGGAAAGATGGAGGGCACAAGGAGAAGGGGATGACAGAGGACGAGATGGTTGGATAGGGTTCTTGAAGCTACCAGCATGAGTTTGACCAAACTGCGGGAGGCAGTGGAATAATAGCTTTAACTATACAGACCTTTGTTGGCAAGGTGATGCTTTTAAAGATGCTGTCTAGGTTTGTCATTGCTTTTCTCCCAATGACAATCCTGAGAGTTATAGTTCGCTAAAGGGTGCCAAGTGCTACAGTTCCCAGAGCTCCTGGGGAAAGCGATCGACGGGAAACCACCCTGAGAACTGCAGGAGAAAACTCTTTCCCTCTTTTATTTTTTTCTTTCCTTCCTTTCTTCCGCGTCCGTCTTTCGTTCCTTACGTTCCTTCTCCATCCTCCTTCTCCTGCCTGCTAAGCTATCCAAACGCGGGTCCCTACCTGGACCCAGCCAAGCCGAGCCTCTTCCCATTGGCTTTCCCCGCCAGCCCCGCCCCCTCCCTCCCTCAAGCCCCGCCCTCTGGGCGGGGCCAAGGGAAGCCCTTCCACGCGGCGCCTCGGAGCGAGCCGCACATTGACTTGAGCCTTGTTGCTCGCTGGTGCCTCTCGCTCCGGGTCTGCGTCTCTTCTGCCGAAAGGGAGCCTCGTCCCTGCCAGAGTCTGCAAAACGAAAACGAAAAAAATCAAAGGAGGAGGCTGGTGGATTTTTATTTAAAATTCAACTTCTGCAGAATGCAGAGATCACTTTCTCTTGCATGAAGAGGAGTTTTTTTTAAAAAAAGGAGCAAAGCAACGCACGGGGCAGAATAATGTAGTTGTTATTATTATTATTTTAAATTGTCCAAGAGAAAATCCGGCAGAAAAGAAGCAATTTTGCATTGTTGGATCTTCCTTACGCTATGGAGTATAAAACAAGACCGCGTCTGTGGTTTTGGGTGACCGTCCTCGGCTGCATGATTTCCGAGGTGAGTGAGCAAAGGGTTGCAATACCCCTTTTTCTCTGCGAAGACGGTAAGGGGGAGGGCAAGATAGGAAAGTCTTAAACAGCAGACGGGAAAGTCTCTGATTTCTAACCACCTTCATGCCTTAGGAAGATAGGGAGCTGCTATCTACTGAGCCAGACCATTGGCTCCATTTCATATAATCAAAGAATTGTAGAATTAGAAGGGTTCCCAAGGGTCATCTAGCCCAACCCCCTGCAATGCAGGAATCTCAGCTAAAGCATCCATGACAGCTGGCCATCCAACCTCTGCTTAGACACCTCCAAGGAAGGAGAGTCCATCTCCTCTCCTGGGAGTCTGTTCCACCGTCGAACAGTTTCTACTGTCAGAAAGTTCTTCCTGATGTTTAGTCGGAAAGTCCTTTCTTGTAGCTCGAAACCATTGGTTTGAGTCCTACCCTCCAGAGCAGGAGAAAAACATCCGTTCTTGGTTTCCAGACCTTTGATCATCTTGGTTGCCCTCCTCTGCACACGTTCCTGCTTGTCAACATCCTTCTTAAATTGTGGCGCCCAGAACTGGACACAGTATTCCAGGTGTGGTCTGAAGAAGGCAGAATAGAGTGGTACTGTGACTTCCCTTGATCAGGACACTGTACGTCTGTTGATGCAGGGACACGGGTGGCGCTGTGGGTTAAACCACAGAGCCTAGGACTTGCCAATGGGAAGGTTGGCGGTTCGAATCCCTGCGACGGGGTGAGTTCCCATTGCTCGGTCCCTGCTCCTGCCAACCTAGCAGTTCGAAAGCACTCAAAGTGCAAGTAGATAAATAGGTACTGCTCCAGCGGGAAGGTAAACGGCATTTCCATGCGCTGCTCTGGTTCACCAGAAGCGGCTTAGTCATGCTGGCCACATGACCCGGAAGCTGGACGCCGGCTCCCTCGGCCAATAAAGCGAGATGAGCGCCGCAACCCCAGAGTCAGCCACGACTGGACCTAATGGTCAGGGCTCCCTTTACCTTTACCTATGACTTCCCTTGATCAGGACCCTGGACTTCTGTTGATGCAGCCTAGAAGAGCACTAAATTCGTTCTAAATTCAGTATTGTCTACCCTGACTGGCAACAGCTCCGTGGGTGGTTTCAGATGGGGTATGATCCTAGCCCTAGCTGAAGATGGAAGATGGGACTTTCTGCATGCAGTTCCTCTGCTACTGAGCTACACCCCTTTCCCCTATTAGGGACATAGGAATTTGCCTTGCCCTGGGTCAGACATTTGGTCCATCTAAGCCTCTATCATCCACACTGGCTGGCAGCAGCTCTCTAGAAGGTTTCAGACAGGGGACGTTCCCATCCCACAGCAGGGAATGAATCAAAGCTACCAATGAGCGGCGTCTTTTCAGTCTTGCCCTATTTGGAGTAGCTTAGTGGGGAAACTGGGGTGTCAGGAGAAAAGCCCACGAGGATGGATGCTGTGTTGGGTCAAAACATTGTACGGCACCTGGCACAAGGCACCTAGTCGCAGTAAACATACTGGGACTTCTTCCAGGGGGTGACATTTTGAATGGACTGTTTTCTAGGTCTGTCCAAAGGGCTTTCTGATGCTTTAAGAATTCCACTTTGTGTTTATACATGCATGCACAAAATACGCACACACTCGCACATAGATCAAACTTGATTTTTTTTAAGCATCCAACACTGATCTGGACAAGTTTGCTCTGAATGTTGGAAGGATGCAGCTAACCACTAAAAGCATGTATTTATTACGGTGACCACCGCTCTCTGTCTCTCATATATGCACAAATGCATGTCTGTGTGTATAGACAGATATCAAACGTGCTTGTGTTTTTATTTTGTCATATCTATGCTTTGGTTTTATTCTACACCCCTGAGAGGTTTTTAAAAATATATATATATTGAGTAGCATAGGAACGGTCTTAAATTAATCAATAGCATTTGGCAGTATTGATCTTCCAACTTTATCAGTGCTTAATTTCTAGACAAACAGGCGACGAGGCAGGTGCTTTCTGCACATGCTCAGAGCATTTTCATTTGTTCCTGCGTGGTATAGTTCTGGTATTGAGATGAATGGATCAGCTTTGGTAAGCTTAAAGTCAGCTTATGTCAAAGGGACTTCATTAATTTTTCTTATTTTTGGTTTATGGGGGAAGAATTGCACAGGGCAAACAAAAGCTTTCCATTTCCCCCGTTCGTTGATTCATTTGGTGGGGGCAAAGTCGAGGGTCAGACCCACACATGAAATCAGGAGATTTGTGATGGGACCTCTTGACAAAGAAGCTGATGGGAGGCTGTTTCTCAGTGGTCCTGGGGGGGTATTCAAACTTCCGCCTCCACACACACCACAATATTGATCTGAATCGCTGCCCTTTCATCCCCACAACAAGCCTCTGTTGTTGTTGTTGTTGTTTAGTCATTTAGTCGTGTCCGACTCTTCGTGACCCGATAGACCAAGGCACACCAGGCACTCCTGTCTTCCACTGCCTCCCGCAGATTGGTCAAACTCACGCTGGTAGCTTCGAGAACACTATCCAACCATCTCGTCCTCTGTCGCCCCCTTCTCCTTGTGCCCTCCATCTTTCCCAGCATCAGGGTCTTTTCCAGGGAGTCTTCTCTTCTCATGAGGTGGCCAAAGTATTGGAGCCTCAGCTTCAGGATCTGTCCTTCCAGGGAGCACTCAGGGCTGATTTCCTTCAGAATGGAGAGGTTTGATCTTCTTGCAGTCCAGTGATCCATGAAGGGAACAACAAGCCTTACAGTGGGTAAAAATCCAGCAATACATCTCATCCAGAGTTGAATCAATAGCCCCAATAGACGCCGTAGACCCTCCATAGCTAAGCACTTCTGAGCCTTGATGATTTCAGCAAGAAAGTTAAGCAAGTGTTTAATTCTTCTCTCTCTCTTTGGGAAGTCAGTAGGAGGGCTAATGTTTGGCTGGGTTGTGATCAATTTTCAGAATGCTACGCGGGTGGTGCTGTGGGTTAAACCACAGAGCCTAGGACATGCTGATCAGAAGGTCGGTAGTTTGAATCCCCCCAACGGGGTGAGCTCCCGTTGCTCGGTCCCTGCTCCTGCCAACCTAGAAGTTCGAAAGTATGTCAAGTGCAAGTAGATAAATAGGTACCGCTCTGGCGGGAAGGTAAATGGCATTTCCGTGCACTGCTCTGGTTCGCCAGAAGCGGCTTAGTCATGCTGGCCACATGACCCGGAAGCTGTATGCCGGCTCCCTCGGCCAATAAAGCGAGATGAGCGCCGCAACCCAGAGTCAGCCACGACTGGACCTAACGGTCAGAGCTCCCTTTACGTTTACTTTACCTTGAACAAAGAGGGTGGACTTCCATTCACGGAGTTTGTGCAGCAGGACTTGGGTTTCTGCCTATAATCATTTGCTTGTTCCCCAAGTTTTGTTTTGTTTCCCCCAGTTGTTGTTTTTTTTAATCATCGATCATTGCTATATTATTCCAGGGTCCGTTTTAAAACAGACCCTGTTGGACTGTAATCACCTGGTTGTACCACAAGTTGTATTTCCACACACCACACACCCACCCCGCTTCCCATTAATCACTTCCATTTCCCACAGTTAATGCCTTTTCACTCGCTCTGTTCAGTTGCAAAATACATTTGCGCTGCAGAACGTACAGGCTGTCACAGATTGCATGTTATTCTCATAATACTGTCACCCGTGTATAGGGAGCTCTGCAGAGAATGGAAGGAGAGGAGCTTACAATCTAAACTTCTATACTGCAGGTAATTGAGGGAGGAATAGACGATCACTTCAGTTAACGCAGACATAGATTTAGTTCATGTAAGGGCAGGGGCAACCCAGGAGATGATCTCCAGGTCTGCAGTTAAGGACTGCAATGTCCATCCGAGAGCGATGATGGGATTTGTAGTCCACAACATCAGTCTATCCCTGAAGCGGGACATGGGACCGGATAAAGTCATAGTGTGAAAACCGAGAATAATGGCACATCAGGATTAAGGAGACCGGGGGTGGGGACAGGGGACAAGCTGAATCTCTCCTGCCTTTTCCGTCTTGTAGGAAATTGCATTTCTTCTATGGCCCACATGTCTTCTTTGCAATACTCCCTTCGAATGCCTGGAATACCTGGGAGATGGTGAATTTGAACCCCACCTCTGCGGCAGGGTAACCAATGTGTCACTTGGCCTCAGTCCTCCCATCTGCGAAATGGGTTCATGCAGAAGGCGAACGGGAAAGGGGGTTGGTGTTGTCACACCTCCAGTCCCTTCCTACACACCTTGGCCCCGAAGTTAAGCCCCACTTGAGTTCAGTAGGATTTGCCCCTTAATTGTCGTTTGAGCTTTGCTGTCACCTTGGCTATAAAGAAAGACGGTCCTTTGATGGCTATTCTCAGGAGCCAAATATACATTTTGGCACCTTGCCTTCCTTAAAACCAAGAATTCTGCGAAATGAGAAAAAGCACAGAGGAGCTTCTCTCTGCAAGTCATATTTCCTCAGTGTCATTTGTCGGGACTGTTCCCATGTGCACATCCCACCACCTAAAAACTGTAACTTGCCAGTATGAATGGGCCATAAACAGAGCCCTGACTGCTGGATCCGATCAAGAGACCATCTAGTGCAGTGTGCAGAGGCAAATCAGATTCTTTCTGGCTACTCACAGGCAGCGCATGAAAGGGATGATCCCTTCCTTGTGTTTTTTCCTGGACGTCTATTATGCAGTGATATACTGCCCCTGAACATGGGGTTTCCATTAAACTCTTACAGCTGATAGGAACCGAGAAAATCATCCCTCCTGAAACTGAGGGATCTTTTTCTAAGCCCAGTGGTCATCGAAAGATTCAGTCCTACCGATGTTTAAAAAAGCCATCTCCTGCTTATGCCAAGCCTTCTCCATCCTGCTGATGCCCTCAGGATAGTTTTGATTTAAAATCAGTGCTTTTCAGTGGAATCCAACAGCTTTCATTTAGCACAGATTAAAAGGCATACGGTGGTTGAGCCTTGAGATTTCAAATGATGTGTGAATTTAGCCT